AGCTTTCACAACAACAACAACTACGGAAAGCTAAACTAAAACCCTGGTTCTGTTTTAGTTTAATTCCACCCATTAAAGCTGCTTCTATTGTTCCAACTTTAAAAAAATCTCAAGGCCCACAAACTGTTTACTTTATTGGCTTGGAACAGACCACTCATACCTCTGTCTCAATGTTTCTTCACAAAAAAAGAAAAATACACATCTTAAATCCATAGTATTGTCACAGGTGTTGTCGAGGTATCTTGCTATGGTAATCTTTAAACTCAAGAGTCTATGGGTTATTCCTTCCATCTTGAGTTTACTGCTTCATTAACATAACCACTGCACTGCCTTACTCATCGCTGATTTGAATACTATAGGAGGCCAAGAGATGGGAAGAGTTACAGGGTGACACTAAAATAGCAAAGTGGTGTAATAGAGTTATCATTGCACGGAAGACTGCCATTGGCTCTCTATAGGGCTGTTAGTCCCATTCGTTCTTGTCGCCCTGCAGGCTTGCCTCCTTCAAATATCAACCATTTCCTTTTGAAATTGTTAATTATTTTCACTTTTATCATTCTCAGAGGCGACATGTTTCAGGTCACTATCGTTCTGTGTAAAAAAGATTTTTCCTAGAAGGCCCCTTGTTATGAACCAAACCCCCTTAAAACACATCAAGGAGACAGCACAGACCTAACCTTTTTCTTATTTAAATGCAAGTGTAAGGTGCTGCATTCCAAAGGTGATTTGATTGGTCAAATTATTAGGCATTGGGAGACAAACAACAAACATTAATTTTGCCAGAGATGCTCAGTCCCAAGGTAGAATTTTTAAATGAAAACTCTGAAATAAGCTTCAAGAATAGTATCTCAACTTTCTGAAGCCTGCATTCCACTGGATTGAACCACTTTTAATTCATTTATTCAGAGTCAGAAAGAGCCAGGGAGGCACAATACATTTGATCACATCTGGAAAATTGGGGGTGGGGGCGTGGAGCAAATGAACTTTTTATTTTGATGGACAACACAATTGACAGTTGAGCTGTCCTCTCTTATTTAAATAGTGATGTGTTCCCAGATATAATAAAAACAAATACTGTGGTTGCTGTAAATCCGAAACAAATTCAGAAACTGCTAGACAAACTCAGCAGGTCCAGCAGCATCTATAGAGAGAGGGAAAAATGTTAACATTTTGAGTCCAGTCTGACTCTTCTTCAGATTTCCAACATCTGTAATATTTTGCTTTTTATTACAATTGTGTATTAAGTTGATTAGACTTAATAGTTAATTTTGATGCAATCCGTATCTCAAAAATTGTTTTCTCCTAGATGTCTAATCCCGTGCTCCGTTTGGCCCACCTTTAACACTGAATATTTATGAAGTATTATTTTTCCTATTTCTTCTTAATATGTTTATTTATTCTTATTTCTTTAAAGCTGTTTTAAATCTGTAGCATCCCAATGCTGTTGGCAATGTGCTGTTTCCAATGCTGTTTAAATTTTGTCATCTAACATTTCAAGTCTGATATGATGCTTCTTCAGAACACTTCAGAGTGTTTTCAACTTATGCAGTTTTACATTTCCTAATCTCCTCTTTGTATCTCTCTTGTGCCTTTCACCCTAAATTAATCTGAAATGAGCCTTTTGATTTATTGAGACGATAAGCTCTGATTTCTCCAGTCTCAGACTTTCTCTCTTCTGTAAGGAACCTTCTCTATAATGTAATTTTTGCAGTTCTGACCAAGGGTTTACACTGAAAGGATCTTTATTGGGGCTGACATCCTTCTGATTATTTGCTGAGAATGTTTCTACTGCTTGTCCCATTCAGAGAGAAACATTTCTATTTATACATTGCCTTTCAAGATCTCAGAATGTGCCGAAGCAGCCAGTAAAGCTCTATTGATTTACTGTAAAGTCACTTTTGTAAAGCAGGTCTGCATTACATCCTTAAACATATTTAACCGGAAAACTCTAAAGCTCTTATAAATCAGATTTTTTTTTTTAAAGGTCATTAATGGTGCTCTTTATTCTGACCTTAGATTCCTCTGGAGAACACTTGAGTCCCACTTCTCTGGTTGGTCTAGATTATGATCGCTGGTTGCCTTAGGTTAAGATCCCTGGCTACCCTGGATGAAGAACAACAAAGATTCTGGGTAATCCAAAATGGAGAATGGGAAAAAATTGTGGCTGCAAGAGCTGCTCCTTTTTTGAGCTATTTTCAGTGCTGTAGCTGATTTCCTTGAAATCTAGGAGCAGTAATTATTGTTTTATAAGTTGTTACATTGTTTTGGAACTTTGAAAAAACAATGAGATCAAAACAATGGTATTTTAAAAAGGAAGAAGAGAGACAAAGGAGTGACCACGTGGGAAGTGAAACAAGCAGAGGAGAAAACCTACACAGCTGTCTGACCCAGCAGCGAACCTGCACAGCTGACTGCCTCTGCTGTTTGGTTTCAAGTATCTCCCGACATGGGACTTCATTCTTAGAAAAGTAAACAAACAGTGAAATTCACAGCTGAACTTGGAGAAACCTGGGTGGGGAAGCTCACAGCTGAGGAGCTGCTAAGTAGCTAGTTTACAAAGTGCAAAACCTTTTTTAAAAATCTACAGTAGTGAGTAGGTTGGGGTTTTTATGATAATATGTTTTATTGAGATCTGTCTCTTGATTAAACTTTTAAAATATAAAACATAGGTACTAAGTTAGCCTGGAGCAGCGTTTTTAGAACAGTAAGACTGGGCTAATTTCTGGGACTGTAGATTGTTAAGGTGCAAAGATGGCCTTTAATAGATGTGGGAGATTAGGTAGAGTTTCCAGGTTACTGATGATTATATTTGCAGGAAGTGTGTTTGGTTGCGAATCTTATCAGATTGTATGGGTCAGTTGCACCAGCAGTTAGAGGCAACGAGGAATTTACAGAAGCTGTGGGGTGTGATGGATGGCAGTTGCAGGAAAGGACAAAAGCCGCAGATACAGTCAGGCAGATGGGTTACCTCCAGGAAAGGTTGGAGAGGTAGACAGGTAGTGCAGGAATCTCCTGTGACTATCCCCATCTCAAAAAAGTATGCTGTTTTGGAAAATGTAGGGACTCTACAAATACATTAAGGACAAAAGAGGAATTAGGCAGAGAATAGGACCCCTTAAAGATCAGCAAGGCCACCTATGTTTGGAACTGCAGGAGATGCTAAAAGAGTATTTTGCATCAGTTTTTACTGTGAAGGATGTGAAAGATAGAGAATGCAGGAAAATAAATAGCAACTTCTTGAAAAACGTCCATATTGCAGAGGAGGAGATGCTGGACATTTTAAAACACATAAATCCCCGGGATCCAACCAGGTGTACCCTAGACCTCTGTGGGAAGTTAGTGAAATGGTTGCTGCACCCCTTGCTGAGATATTTGTATCATCGATAGCCAATGAGGTGCCAGAAGACTGGAGGCTGGCTAACATGATGCCATTATTTAAGAAAGGTGGCAAGGTAAAGCCAAGGTACTATAGGCCAGTGAACCTGATGTCATCTGGGCAAGGTGTTGGAGGGAATTCTAAGGGGCAGGATTTACATGTATTTGGAAAGGGAAGGACTGATTAGGGATACTCAACATGGCTTTATGCATGGGAAATTGTGTCTCAATAACTTGATTGAGTTTTTTGAAGAAGCAACAAAGAGGATTGATGAATGCAGAGTGGTGAACATGATCTATATGGGCTTCAGTAAGGCATTCTACAAGGTTCCTCATGGTAGATTTGTAAGAGGTAGACTGGAATACAGGGAGAACTAATTACTTGGATACAGAATTAGCTCAAAGGTGGAAGACAGAGGGTGGTGGTGGAGGATTGCTTTTCAGACTGAAGGCTTGTGACCAGCAGTGTGCTGCAGGAATGATGCTGGGTCCACTGCTTTTTGTTATTTACATAAATGATTTGGATGTGAACATAGGAGGTATGGTTAGTAAGTATGCAGATGACACCAAAATAGGAGGTATTATGGACAATGAAGAAGGTTACCTCATAGTACAACAGGACCTTGAACAGATGGATCAGTGGACCGAGTGGCAGATGGAGTTTAACTGAGATAAATGTGACGTGCTTCATTTTGGAAAGGTAAATCAGGATGGGACTTATACACTTAATGGTAAGGTCCTGGGGAGTATCACCAAACAAAGAGACCTTGGAGTGCAGGTTCATAGTTCCTTGAAAGTGGAGTCCCGGGTAGACAGGATAGTGAACAATGTGTTTAGTATGCTTGCCTTTATTGGTCAGTGCATTGATTTTAGGAGTTGGAAGGTCATGTTGCAGCTATAGAGGACATTGGTTAGGACAGGGCATCAGAGGCCGACGGATAACCTTATAGAAGTTTATAAAATCATGAGGGGCGTGGATAGGGTGGTTAGCCAAGGTCTTTTTTCCCCAGAGTGGGGGAGTCCAAAACTAGAGGCATTGCTTTAAGTTGAGAGGGGTAAGATTTAAAAGGGATCTAAAGGGCAACTTTTTCACACAGAGGGTGGTGTGTCTGTGTGCGCGTGTGCTTGGAATGAGCTGCCAGAGGAAGTAGTGGAGGTTGGCATAAATACAACATTTAAAAGACATGTGGATGGGTGTATGAATAGGAAGGGTTTAGAGGGATATGGGCCAATTGGGACTAGAATAATTTCGGATATCTGGTCGGCATGGACGAGTTGGACTCTCTTTCCGTGCCGAACAGCTCTGTGACTCTAAGATTGCCAAATGACTGCAGTCAAGAACTTTGACACTTGACTGGCCAATGGGCATCCTCACATGATGTCATAAAAGGATGTATCAATCAAAGGCGACCTTAACAACCAGAAACATTGCTGCGTATTCCCATTGGGCTGCCCACTGGGAACACAGAACCAATCAAAAGAGGGGCGTCTCTTGATTGGTTCTTTGTCACTCATTGATTCAACTATGTCATTCTTTGATGAAATCTCTAGCACTTGTGTTTCCAGCCCTGTTGTCACATATTCTCACCGCGGCTTATTACCATCCTAACCGAGCTCTGGTCAGGGATCAACTAGGCGGGAAGTCAACATTTAGGTTCTTCCAGTTGATCAGAGGGAGCTATTGGCTGCAAGTCGTGGGCGTGGCTTGCAACGACGTTGGTTTTCGTCACTATCGGGGAGGGGCTGAAAGGGAGACCTGCGGTGGGATGCTGCACTGGCCCAACCTCAGAGTTGTCAAGAGGTAGCAAGATGGTCGTGAGGCACATTAGGACACGGAAGCAGTTCCATACACTGCTGCGGGAAGAGGAGGAGACCCTGATCGTCGTATTCTTCGCCGCGCGATGGTGTAACAATTGCTCCAACATCAAGCCCTTCTTCCGCACGAGGTCTGAGCAGTACCGGGATGTCATTTTCGCGGAGGTGGATGTGGATGAGTCGGAAGACCTGGCCCGAGCTGCTGGTATCAGCTGCATGCCCACATTCCAGTTCTACAGCTGTCAGGAAAAGGTTGCAGAGTTCTCCGGGACCAGGAGAGACAAGTTAGATCACTTGATAATGCGACTGAAGTAATTCTCACGAGTTACAAGCAAAAAAAAAATTAAATACACCTGTCCTCTGAATAGTTGCATTTATCGAATCTTAATAGCACAGGAGGTCATGTGGCCCATCGATCCTGGGCTGGAATAACTTGTGAAGTCTTGGTCTCCATCCACATGCCTTTTAAATGCTGTAATTGTACCTGCCTCCACCTCTTCCTGTGGCAGCTCATTCCATACCTGTTTTTGAGGGATTATAGCAAAGGGTCACCAACTTGGTCATTTGATGAGAGGCTGAGTAAATTTCGCCTTGATTCAATTGAGTTTAGAGAAATGAGTTGCGATCTAACTGAAATAAACAAGATTTTGAAGGGGCTTGACAGCGTAGACACTGAGAAGTGGTTTTATGGGTAATGGAATCTAGAAAATGGGCCACAGCCTCATGATAAAGGGCTGAGCATTCAGGACAGCGACGAGGAACAAATACTTCGTTCAAAAGGCTGTGAATCTTTGACATTCTCTGTTCGAGACAGTTTTTGCTGCTTCGATGTTGAATATTTTAAAGGATGATATAGACTGGTTTTTGGCTCTCAGGGAATCCAGGGATGTGGGAAGTGAGTGAGAAATTGGAATAAAAATCCCCAAATCAGCTGTGATTAAATCAAATTGTTGATTTGGCTTAACACTCCCTATAGAGTGCCACTGATCATTTCTCTTGTGGTAATTTGAAAAAGTTAACCAATTAGTCCCACTCAGTTTTCAAAATAAAATCATTTGTTTCCCTTAACAGTATGTGCAATTAAATTAAAAGTTGTGAGAGAACCAACTTTCACCCACCATTTAGGTTGTGCATTCCAGATCACAACATCTCTCCGCACGAAATAAATATCATTTGCTCACTGATCAACACTGGCTGTTTGAAGAATTCTCCTCCACTGTCACCATCTACAACCTTCATACACCCATAAGCCTACAACATCTGTGCACTCCTCTAATCCTGCCCTCTTGAGCATCCTTGCTGCAACTACGGCCTTCCTGATGCACACTGGACCGGACATTTGTCTGTACAGTAAGGGCTTTACAACCTAATCTTTAATGAGTTACAATATTTGCCAAAAGAACCAAAGGAGCAATGACAATTTAGTTAGCGCCTTTAATGTAGCGAGCATCCCAACACACTTCACAGGAAACCTGACAAATAAAATTCAACACTGAACCACAAATGGTGCCAGTTGACCAGAAGCTGAAAAGGCTGTGTCTTCTGGAATTCCCTCAATAACTCATTTCCAGCCTTTAAAGAATGCCTTAATGCTAACCTTTCAGAGCAAGCTTCTGGTCAACTGGCACCATTTGTGGTTCAGTGTTGAATTTTATTTGTCAGGTTTCCTGTGAAGTGTGTTGGGATGCTCACTACATTAAAGGCGCTAACTAAATTGTCATTGCTCCTTTGGTTCTTTTGGCAAATATTGTAACTCATTAAAGATTAGGTTGTAAAGCCCTTACTGTACAGACAAATGATGTCCTGTCCAGTGTGCAACAGGAAGGTCGGTCTACTCACGTTTTTGATGGTTTGCTTGCTTTCCAACTGCCACATATCAATGCAGGGTCACATAGCATATGCAGTCCAGAAACTAGCTCTTTGGACTAACCATTTACACCAGCATTAACATTCTACTTGAGCTTTCCTCTATCTTCCACCATCTAAATCTGTCTCTGTTATCTTCTAACCTTCTTTCTCAGATGCTTGTCTAGTTTCCCTCAACTGCATCAATGATATTGAGCCATTTCCTGTGGCAGCGAATGCCACATTTTCACTACACTTAGTGTTCCTTCCGAATTCCCCATTGGATTTGTTGGTGACTGCTTTAGATTGATAATGTCTGTTATGCTGTCCCCTATGACAGGAAATATTTTCAGTGTATACCCACATATTCCTGGTATTATCCTTGTAAACTTCTGGATCCACACCAGTGCCTCTATATCCTTTCCATATTACAGTGACCAGAACTGCATGCAGTACTCAAGTCTGGTCTAACCAAGTTTTGATACAGACTTAGCATAACTTCCCTACTTTTCAATTCTATCCCGAAAGAAATAAAGTCTGCTGCTTAGTTTGTAGCTGTTTCATTGCTTTTACTGTTTTGTATTTTATTCCTCTAGATATAAAGAGGAGCATTCCATTAGCTTTCTTGATTATTTTTATATCTGTTGATTACATTTTAATGATCGGTATACCTGCATCTCCAAGTCTCTGAATTTTTTGTACTCTGAGATGTCTTTGTTCCTCTACTCCATACAGATTTGCTTCCACTATTCTACCTTCCAGAATGTATCACCTCATATTTGTATTGAAGTTCATTTGATAAATATTTGCTCATTCCACATGTATGTTCATGCCCTCCTGTGAGTTGTTGCCATCCTCCCTAATATTGACTAACCACCTCCAAATCTGGTGTCATCATTGGTCTATCTAGCTGTACGTTAGCAATATTTAATACTCACAGGAGACTGGAGTTTTGCAAGTGTCCTTTTTCTTAGTCTGACTACTGTCAGATCAGGTCAGGAATCACACGACACCAGGTTATAGTCCAACAGGTTTATTTGAAAACACAAGCTTTCGGAGCCTCACTCCTCCTTCAGATGTTAGTGAGAGAGGTAGTATCAGACACAAATTTAAGTAAAAGATCAAAGGTTCATACCATGATTGATGATGTACTAAACAAATCTAAGATGCTGTTAAACCTTTAATCAGTTTGAAGTTTTTAATTGATTAATATGTATATGTAAATCCCTGAATTCCTTACAAGTCACTGACCTGAAAGAACTAAAGATTTTATCAGTGTAAAGAAGAGATGACATTTTAGGTCAGACAATGCATGTTAAGTATGAGGCCTTGTTTAGAATCTGTTTGCGTTTTGGTTTGGAGTCAGACTGGTTTTATTTCTAAAGCAGGAACTTATAAAATGCCACGTTGGCTGTCTATAAATTGTGTGCATTTTGAACAAAATGGAATGTATCTGCAAATACAAATTTACCCATAGATTCACGTGTGTGAGAGAAGCGGGGAGAGAGTGTGTGTGAGGGGGAGAGGGAGAGACAGCGAGAGTGTGGGTGAGAGAGAGAGCGAGCGTGACAGCGAGGGAGTGTGAGGGAGAGAGAGAGAGAGTGTTTGGGGGAGAGAGTGTGAGTTTGAGGGGGAGAGAGAGACAGAGTGTGAGGGAAGGGGAGAGAGACAGAGCGTGCGAGCCCCCTGGAGGGGTCCAATTCGACTCCTTCTTTGCCTGCTGCCCCATGGATCTCTCTGTCAACTGATCCGATTCATTGGTTGTCTCATTGGGCTCGCTGCTGACATCTTGGAAGAATTCCCGGAGTCTTATTCGTCTGATGAATTCCTCTGGTCTCGCAGCAGATACATTGGGGTCCGTTTTGGTGGTGGGGCAGAAATTGAGTCCTTGGCTGAGAACTTTGATCTCGTCTGGTTGAAGGGTCTGGTCAGAAAAACTGACGATGGATTTTCCTGTGGTGGTACCACTTTCAATTGTGGTACCGGGAGACTCAGATATTACTGGTGGTAATGCCAAATTTCTCCAGTTTCTTGTTCTTGGTGTGCATGTAGGTGGAGTAGTTCTGTTGCCTCGTCTGTTTGGCAGTGTCTCGTAACTGTACTGCTGTATCTTGAGTGCAAGTTGAGAATATGGAATCTAGCTCGATTTCAAGGTTACGGTGCTTGCTGTAGAGTTGGTGTTCAAGGTGATTGACGAGTT